CAAAAATATTTATTTTCATTTAGGGTGCTAAGGTCACTAAGGTCACTAAAGTCTTAGAATATTTACAAAAATAGTACAAATCTATAACCCCGCAAGCCCTGTAAATCCTCTTCCATAATATCTAACCCTAAAATATGGTGATTTTATAGTTACAATATCCCACTATCTTGCTTATAGACGAAAAATTGCATAAGAGATTTGGAACATATAAAATAGAATTAAAAAAAAAACTTAAAGAGTTAATTCTAATGGTCCCTGTCGTCTCAATAGAGTATAGACATCCATAAACAATTTTGACTTCAAAGTTTCCAGGTGAAGTGATAGAAGAAGAAAAAAGACGAGCATATCCTATCATGAGATTTAATGCTCGTGAGTCAATAATCTAGGATTTTAGTCCTCCCTAAATATAGATAATAGCTAGAGGAAAAGTACCTTTCAGAGCAAAAAGAGATAGATCTTATACAATGTTTAAAATTGCATAATCGGGTATTGAGGCGTTTTTCGTTCGTGAGGCGAGGCGTAAGCCTCAAAGCATTTTGAGGCGTAAGCCTCAAAATCAAAAGATTGCGTAAACATAAAATGATAAATTTTTTTATATACTAATGAGTAAAAAATATAAAACATAAAAAGACACGAGATATGAAGTGAAATATAAATATCCCAATAATAAGACTATGAAATATAGTACAATCATTACTAAAGATGATGAATAAAACAATATGCCGGGCAGCTGAGGGTCCAAGGGGGCGCTGCCCCCTGGCAAGGTTCGACCTTAAAGTTCGTAAGTCATTTTTATGGAAAGATACACAGCGATACCGAGCATGCACCTAGCAGTACCGAGTATGTACCAAGCGGTACCGAGCGGTACCAAGTATATACCGAGCGGTACCGAGTATGTACCTAGCGGTACCGAATATGTACCAAGCGGTACTGAGCATGTAGCTAGTGGTATCGAGTGGTACCTAGCATTGTTGTACCGAGGCGGACGCCTCTAAAACATGAGGCGAGGCATGCCTCAAGGCGCGCCTCAATGAACTTGAGGCGTACGCCTCAATGCCAGCTCCCATTGCGTAGGCTTTGAGGCTTAAAAGTTTAGAATTACGCTGAGGCGCGCCTCTTATTGCGCAATTTTAAACCATGACCTGATAGGAGTGAGTTATTGATATAAAAGATCCATAAGCTCTTTGCTAAAGAAATCTCACCAAAGTTTTCAATGTTTTTCATCTTAAAACCCTCACTTCTAGTTGGATAAGTCATATTGTCTTTGAGTTGATTTTTTAGACTAATCTAAGTTGTTGGCTTGCCGTCAGAATTTTAAACAATTTATCATGGGTGATTGATCTTTTTACAAACATCACACCAAAAATTACCTCTCTATCAACGCCTTGAATAATGTCAGGGTTTTGCTCCGAACTTTTGATGACTAGTGTAGATTCTTTTATTGTGAGAGTATTCTTGGTGCCTCCAAACATTATTCTCTGACTGCTTTCTTTCATTCAAACTTCAACAAATACTAATTCAATTTTGGAAAGTGGGCGAATCAATAGTAATCTTTCTCAAACTTCATCAAAATCTGTATTATGAACTAGAACAATACAGTTGAAGTACATTATATTACTCAACATCACTGACTCTCGTGCTTGCCTTCTTCTATCATGCAATACTCAAAGTTTACTCTTTCAAATGCAGAAATTTATAAGCTCGTCATTTACTAAAGTATTTTTTTATGTATTGTAAATTTGTAACATATCCACTATATGCTCAAGAGAATCCACATGATGTTCAACAGATACTATCTATTCACTCTGATTTTATCTAGACCAACTTTTGCCAAAAAAAAAACATCTTCGCATCCACTTCACCTTTAGAAGAATTCAAACAAGCTCAAACAAAAGGAGAAAGGCCGAAAAAGAATTTATGGAGGTATGGACTTACATTTTTGGAATTCCATTTTATCTATGAACTTCAAAAATATGTGGAAACGAAGTTAATCATTGAGATTCCTCAAGCCATACAAAGCAGCCTCGACCACACATGTGGCACCATCAAAGAATATTGAAGATGAAACTCAAGACAATACTTTCAAGTAGAAATAAGCAAGGTTTAAAATTGCGTAAATAAGCCTCAAGGCTTTTTTCGTCCGTGAGGCGAGGCGGTGTGAGGCGTAAGCCTCACAGACAAAGAATTGCATAAATGAGAATTTAAATATTCTAGCATGTGAATAATATTAAGAGTCTACCATACAATAAAAACATCTAAATGAGAAGAGAAATTAGTGGAAAAAAATAAAATAGATGCAATATATGCATCTCATAGCATAATTCAAAGTACAAAACCACAAATATTAGTCTATCAAAACTCCCAAAGTACAAATAAGAAAGAACATCTAAATTTCAATCATGTCTTATCACTAAATGGGTCTTCAAGGGAGACATCTTCATCTCCAATTGTGATCTTCTTTGCCCTAGAAAGGGCGCTCTTGTGTTGAGGTAGATCACCTAGTTCCTCCAATATGAGATCAATACAGTTCGTCGCGCAGAGTGTCCAATAGAGGCTTTTCCTCTTCTCAATCAACATCTGACCAGTTGCTTTGTATGCACTGGCATTGTCAGCCACCACCCGAACAACCAATTGCTCCCCAATCTCCTCAACAAACCTATCTAATAAATTGAAAATGAAATCAACATTTTTAACCTCATCTGAAGCTTCAACTGATCGTAAAACACCGTGCCTCCAATATTCATGCAAACTTGCCGTCGACCCTCTCTGGTACCAACCGCAGGCATCATCTGTGATTTTCCTCTATCCTCTCTTGGATTAATCATATACTGGTGGTCCATAGGACCCCAGGCACCTCTACTGTGTATAGTGGAGGAAGAGTCCTTTCCACTCTCGCTCCCGTAGTAAGCACCATGTTCGACCATTTCATCAAATTGCTCATATTGTAAATATTTGGCCGTGGTACTCTTCTTCATATAAGCAGTAATTTCCTCCTTCACCTTTTTCGGCACATTCGCACAAGGTGCTACCTTTTTATGTGAGCCCGATAAGTGTTCCTTCATGCGGGTAACTCCTCCCTTCACCACCTTATCACAAAAATTGCATTTCAAATACACGTATGTCTTCTCATCGTCGCCTACGTCAACTTGTACACTGTACTTCCAAGAAGAGTCCCTCCGCAATGACGTGTTTGACTTTTCATTGCCCCTAGCCATGTTTCCTAATGCATAAATGCAAAATCAAGCCAAGAAACTCAAAAAAATTTAAACCCTAGATTTTCTATTACTTGAAAAATCAAACCTTGAATTAAAAAAAAAATACCTAAAACTCGTAGTAGATGTGTCGTAGAGGGCGGCCGGACACAAGAAGCTCACCGGCGTGAGGCGGCGCCAGCGGGTGAGGCAGCGGGAAGGCCGGCCAAGGGGAGCTAAGGCATGCAGAATGCGTGCGGACTACAGCTCATCCGTTCAGTTCGGGTAGGCATAGGCGGAAATAAGAAAGGGAAGAATTGGGTTATTTTATTAACAACTTAAGTGTGTGGGACTTGGCTCCATGAGGCGCACGCCTCACCCTTTATTGCACAATTGCGCCTCAGGAGTCATGAGGCGTAAGCCTCACCAAGTCACAAAATTGCTTAAGCAATGACGCTCTTTGGGGTAGAATTGCGCAGAGGCGCGTCTTGAGGCGCACCTTTGATTGCGCAAATTTAAACTATGGAAATAAGCTTCTCGAATAGATCCTATTTTTGCACAGAGACTCTCAAGACAACAACATCCAAGGAGTACATAGTTTTTCGGGAGCATATCAACTATCATAATTCCTCTTGAGAAAATCATGATTATCAAATACCAAAACTATATTCATCGTTTAAGAAGACAATAATATTCATCAAGGCTTTACATATAATTAGAACAATTAATGAACATATTAACAATGATATAGCTCACACAATGATCTACGCTCTCAAAATCATTAAAGTGGTTAATGATTCATCTCCCAAGATGAAAATTACTATAAATACTCAACTCAATCCTCTTGAAAGGGAGAAATGAAAGGACAATACCAAACACTAAAACTTTAATAAAGTGCAAATGTTTGGAGAGCTTATAATTTTTTCTTACATATAAGAAGAAAGTCTCACCTCCCCGTAATGGATGTTGGTCATACTATGCCAAACCACTTAAATTTTGTATTCCTTCTCTCTAGTTACTTTCTTCTCATTTTTTACTTCTCTTGTCTATTCATAAAGTACCTTAAAATATAATTTCTTCTTTTCATTTACTCTTCTAATTACAAATAAAGAGATTCTTTTTGGAATTTACTCATCCGAGTAGTTGGCCCTTCTTGGTTTGATGTATATATTGGTATTTTGCCTAATACACTAGTAGATTTGAAACTAAGTTGTTCAGAAACAGAACAACCAAATACTGGGATATGTCAAACAAATGAATCACTAAAATTATTATTCACAAAATTGTAAAATAGGTACTCGCAAGCAGCCCAAAATTATGCTTTAGGCCAAGTAAAGCTTGGTGATATGCAGGGGTCAACCGAGTTAAAGCTTGATGGCGTATATATGCTAAAAGCCTAACAAACATAAATGAATAGTAAATTGCTAAGATAAGATTAGATATACCAAATGCATTGAGTTTTGAGTAGAAAATGATTAGTTCATTTAAAAAGTATGAAAGGATTGCCATACAAATGTTAATTTTTGTGAACTACAGAACTCAAATATTTTAAGAGTTCAATTCCAATTATCAATAAAGAAAATCACTATTCCGAAAAAGATTTGTGAATAAGAAAATAATAACACTCTGCACACTAACTGGGATTACAGGTGCCCAATTCAAACAAAGAATAGCAAAGAAATTTCAAAGAAAGATAAATCCATCGCAATCCAATTAGAACGAAATAGTCTACATAACCTTTAAATGCACTCATGAGCTTTAAAGATTAATAAAACATGACCACACAAACACACTTGAATATCTTGTTACCTCAATAAAGGCCTTTGGGTCAGGACAACTTTGCCTTCTTGACAATCTCAACGTGCATTCAGCAGCCGTGCGGCCATCTCGGAGTGCAACAGCCTTAAAGAATTCCAACAAGTTACGACGATCGCTTTTAGAGAGCTCGGCAGTCATGCCAACATCAAGAAAGATGATATGAGGTTTCGTTCTAAAGATTCTTTTTCTTGACCGTTTTCTTTGGGGCACTCTAACAAGGATATTTCCAGGATGCATGTCTGCATGGATGAAATTATCCACCTATAAAACAAATTCAAAACACATTAAAACATCCCTGTCATGGACTAATAACATGATAGTTCTATATTTTTGAATAAATAAGCCCAAATTCCATGATAATGGTGGGCATCAAATAATATATGTTTTCAATCATTGATAAGATAAGAAAATAATGGCTAGGCAACCCAATTACATAAGCAAATTTAAGTAAACTTGAGCAAAAAAAATTAGCTTACAGGTCATTAAATTATTAATATCTTAATAACAGTCAATTATCTAAGAGGATCATACCAAAAGCATCTTGAGGAGTGCATGTGTACCAATATGTGCAAGATCTCTTTTAAGGCGTGTGTTGCCATCAAGGTCATCGATATAGCGAGCCACAGAGTCTCCAGGCTCAAATGTCTCCACAAGAACCGCAGGATGCACAAGAGGGTAAAGGGGTTTTGGGAAAGACACATCCTTCCACCTGCGAAAATTGTATATAAACCTACTCAAATAAGCAGCTTCCCTTGAAAGATCTACTTGGGACATCATGAACACTGCAAACTGACGAACACTTTCATCCAGTCGTAACCAGTTAAGAGCAGGGATGTAGCTTGAAAGTTTTGCGAAAAAATTAATAATTGTGAAATCCCTCTTTATAGACTCACCCACCCCAGGATGCCTAACCTTCACTGCAACTGAAATAGGTTTACTCAGCCTCTGACCTGGATACTGAAACATCAGAGAAGCTTGATGCACTTGTGCTATGCTACCAGATGCCACAGGTACTTCCTCAAACTGCTCAAAGATCTCATAAAGCTTCCGACCAAATGCTTTTTCAATAGTAATCTTACTGTAGGTGAAGCTATGAGCAGGAGCTTTGCTGTGCAGTTCTGAAAGTGCCGTGCAGAGGTCATTAGGAAAGAGATCTGGTCGCGTGGCTGCCCACTGTCCCCATTTTATGAAAGCTGGCCCTGCTTGTTCAAGAGTGATATGGACAAGATAAATCCATTTCTTTCTGAATTCAACACCAAAGGTATCTGCGAATGGAGCCATCAAAATGGATGGCAAAAACAGAACTGCCAAGTACACTGCTCGGAAGATTAGAATAACACCTTCTATTAATGAATAGAAAATCGAAGATAGATACAAACGTCCATCCTGTGTGCCTGTATAAAGACCATTCCCCGCAGAAAAGAAATTCCCATCCGCTCGAGTCTTCTGAACCCATTCTAACTCCCCAACACCAAAAGCAAGAAGCCCGGAAATAACATGGAATCTCGTCAAGGCCAAGCTCAAGGTACATGCAATCCTACCAACTGGTGAGAACACTGAACCTCCAGAAGGGTAAATCAGAGTTAGCCTCTTCCAAGTTAGTTGAGCGTGGTTTGCCATAGAAGGCCTACCCAATGAGACAGTGTAGCAAGTTCTGATGCCAGTGCCGATCCAGAAGTTCTCCTTTCCACTAGATCTCCCGTAAGAAACATTTTTTCTTCCGCTGTTTCTACAATGTGAAATCAGTCTACTTAATGAATTAAAGACACTAAATTTAGCAGCTGAAACATGATTTCTTAGTCCTGGGTGGATGGGTTTCTGATTGGAATGTAAGAAATAGCCAGCCTTCCTATCACCTCCAAACGCCAATAACCTGAGAACAAACAAAATGCAAAATGCCTGCTCAAAATGCTTCACGAATTCAAGCTGCACGCTTGCTAATTTTTGAACGAAGACGAAAAAAAAAAAAACGGTCATGACCATTCTAAGCCAACAAAAAGTATTTGTAATAATAACAGAGACAAAATTAAAATACAATATCGCATTTGCATCAAAATAGAGGTTTCTTCATTTTAGCAGGCAATACAGTGCTTTTTGCAAGAAATTTCCAGCAAGTTTATTACCTCCCGTGATTCGCTACGAGGCGGAGCATCGGAATCCTTCATAACCAACCCCCCACCGATCAGCTAACCAAAATCAAACCAAAAATAAAATGGAAATGAACACCAGTTTCCAGTATAGGCTGTAGCAAATAGGGTTGACGAAGCCCTAGAGAACAGAATCAAACGGTCTAGAGTAGTCCAAGCCACACTTATTCTAGCTGCCAAATAGCCTTCGTCACCACCACAAGAACTTGGGTATAACTAGGGTTTATTCGCAGCTGCAAAGCTGGAAGAGATCCAATCGTCCGCTCTGGTACTAAACCGACACCGGCCTTCGTATGTAAGGATCGTATGGAAAGTTTATTTTTTTTAGCACATAGTTGTTATATTTTTATTTGGTTATAATTTTTTTTTATTTAAGAAAATAAAACTAAATGTGCTTTTTATAATCACATTCAAGAAAAAAAAAGAGATTATTATTAATTTTTGATATATTTTTATAATTAAAATTTTATTTGGGATAATTTTCTTATTATTTTTTAAAATAATTTTTTAACAAAATTTGTTAGTTCAAAAAATGTTATACTAAAAAATTACATTACAAAATAATTAAAAAATTATTCCAAATAAAACTTAAATTTATAGACATTTGAAGTTATCATACAAGAATCTTATATTTATCATATGTGAATCTTATATTTAAAGAATTAGAACATATTATTCATTTTCTAGTGAGCCTAATTGATTTTGCTTGAAACTTTTCTCTACTTTCTATGTTAGGCTTCTTTTGATTGAACTCAAGAACTTTTAGTTGATAGTCAAAACTTTCAACCAATAAATCAAAAAAAGCTGTGTATATATCTTGAGTTAAATGTCAATTATGTTGACCAATTGAGCTCAATACATATTCATGATACTCTTCAATTGTACTAAGTATTATCAGCCTCCACTACTAGCTTTGCTAGCACCTATGCACAAAGGTGCATTAAATGAGGTTACAAGGAAGGATGAAGAAAAATTACGAGGGAGAGAATATTGGGTAGTACAAAGTTGTTATTTAAACTCTATTGATTTATGTTTTATTATAAAATGCATGTGTTAATACTTAATACTCTAATTAATTTTATTTTATTAAAAAATCATTTAAATAGTCTAGTTATTACCATGGTACATATTATTTTCTTTTTTTACTTATGATATTTGTTAGTATTATGAATTATCATTATTATTATCGTTTGTAATATGATATTGCTACTCTTTTTTAAATTGATAGAATTGCATATTTTGCTTAAATTACAATTTTTTTTTTCAAAATTTTGAATAGTTGATTGGTTATCCACAAAAAATTTATCTCAATATTGATATCATATCATAGCTTGATGGAATATCTATCTCAAAATTTGATGAATAATCCTTCGTTACTGACATTCGGTCGGTAGAATATCCATTAAAACTTCTAATGAAAATATTTCATTAAAGTTGTATCAATTAAATTTCAATCACTATTTTAATTGAATTATACGTCAAAAATAACGACAAATTTCATAAAATGATTAATTAGGGTTTAACTTATGGACATTAAGTCCTAAAAAAATCGAATGATGATAAGGCTATAAGCTATCTTTTAGTTATTATTTATGAAACTTTCATCAGTAATTAATATAATATTTTCATATGGTGATTTGATGCAATCAAATCAAAAAATTTTGCCACCATTTCTTAACATGAATGCTTTCAATAACTATATGCAATATCAACAAGTTAGTTTTTCCGTAGTGCTCCAACTGATAGCATATTATTGTTGATAATTGTGATTGATTTATATGAGTTTGGTGGGGCAGATTGTCTATATGACATAAATCTCTGAATGAAATATCTTTTTATTTACAATTTATATCTTTATGTTTGTACATAGGTGCACCATAATGTTTATGTTCATTATTGATCATGTTATTCTTAGAATATAATATGTATTCATTAATACAATAATCCATCTTCTAGGCATTCAATTCTAATTTAAACATTATTTTTTTATATTATAAAAATGAGTAAGTGCAAGATTATTTGTTGGATTTTTCTCTCTTAACAACAAGATAAATTGATTGAAATATTCATTAGATATATTTATTATTGTTGCATGCTAGAATATACGCAACGATAGAGTTAAAATTTTGCATCTTAGTATTGTATGAATATCTAGCTCACACACAGATAACACAAGATGTTTTTATGTGGAAAACCCTAGAAAGGGGAAAAATCACGGGGCCTAACCCAATCTGAAATAATTTCACTAGTGCTTGGGTAGATTACAATGGGTTGACTCATCCCTCAGGGAGATCAGATTACAAATGTCAACCGTTTGGTTGAAATCTAGTGACAAACGAGGATGAAATTACAGTGTCACTTGGTGGGCTGGAAGAAGTCCAGTGCTACTTAAAAATTTGGGCGTCAGTTGGTAGCCTAGCATTGGTTTGGCAGAACTTCAGTGTCGGGCGGTGGTGGTCCGGCGGAAGTCCGACGTTAGATGGTGGTTCGGCAAAGCTTAGGGCCTCAAGTGGTGTTCCGATGAAGGTGAGGGCCTCAAGTGGTGGTCCGACAGAGCTCAAGGCCTCAAGTGGTGGTCCGGCGAAGGTGAGGGTCTCAAGTGGTGGTGTAGTGGAGCTCAGAGCCTAAGTGGTGGTCCGCGGAGGTGAGGGCCTCAAGTGGTGGTTCGGCGGAGCTTAGGGCCTCAAGTGGTGGTCCGGTGGAGCTCAAGGCCTTAAGTGATTGTCCGACAAAGGTGGGGGTCTCAAGTGGTGGTCCGGCAGAGCAACGACGTTAGGCGGTGATCCGACAGAACTCAGGCGGTGGTCGATGATCAGGAGCAAGGAGGTAAGAGTGATCTCTGATCTCTCTCTTGAATCCTTTGGCTTGGGTTCCCTTTTTAAGATAAAAAGGGGGCTCTATTTATAGATTTTTAGAGTGGCATGACTCGCAAATATGTGGGAGATAAAGGGCAAATGAGGAGTGGTTGGATGGACGGTCGATGTTGAATCCCTTGATTATGGATCGTTTGATGGACATTTGAATGACTTAGTAATGTCGGAATTCGTTGATCTTGGGCTCGTTGGATTCGTCTTGTTGAGCCGCTCGATTCGACTATAAGCATGTTATGTTTGAAAACCGTTTGGTAATCCAAATTGTAGTTTGAACCTTCTAATAGCTCTTCTAACCCTTGATTTGGACCCATTTGGGCTCGGATTTGGTTGGATTTGGTGTCGTTGGGTTCATATTCTCTAGACGTTCAGTTTGATTGTAAGTTTGCTAAAATCAGAGTTTGGATGGTCCCAAATTTAATTTTGGAAGTTTCCAACTTGATTTTGCGTCGAGATTCATGCCCGATCAAGATAATTATTTGATAACCTATCAATTATGTACAAGAATATTTGTGAAGATAGAATTTAAATCTTAGTTTTGCACAAAGATCCCTTACACATACAGTTAAAATAAAAGAATATATATTACACCATAATTTTTATGCTGGAAACTTGGAAAAAAATTATTTTGCCTAGCCTGGTTGAAATAGTTCATTATATAATTGAAAGTATAATAGTTAAATTTTCCTCTCAATTGGGAAAAATGGGATTACAATATATTGAACACAAACTTAACTTGTGATGAGCGTGTTGGAGCTAAGATGCTGGAAATGAGGTGAAGAGTGGTAATGATAATTAGTTGACAATTGTCAAATGATGCTAGCAATGATAGTCCAATGACAACTGAAAAAGATATGATGGTTGGATGAATGTCATTGGGCAACAATGGATAGGCCACAATAGTCAAGTGATGGTGGTCGTACAATAGCTGATAAGCTATGATTATCAATTGATTATAGTCGAACAACGATGGTAGATGGTAGTGATCATCAATGCGGAGCAACTAATAGAGCTTTGGAATTTTTGAGTTCTTTAAGTTCTCTCTAAATTCATGTAATGTCTCCTTCATGTGGTGAATGAATGTTTATTTATAACTTTTAATAGTGACATCAAGAGATTTAAGAACTCTAGAACTCCACACAACAATCAATAATGACGACCATTATTGCCTCACTACAATCTACCGATCTTTGTTGTTCAACAACTATCTCATGACCATCGTTCGCCTAGTTATTTTTGGTCAACCTCGTCTCCTAACTATCATTACCTTCCAATACTTCTCTAGAAAACTCTACAACAAACAGATTAGATCAAGCTAGTGTTTTCAACTTTGCAAACACCATTACTCTCATCTTCTCCAATTGAGAGAAAGAGCGGACTAATAAAATTTTTGCATGAACATTAAATCTTTTCAATTGGACAATAGCTCATGATTTTTTCCCTTCTTTAATTTTCACCTAAAAGCTCTAGTTTCTCTTGCAAAACTCTCTTTTATGTGTGTCTCTTGCAAAACTAAGGCATTACACATTCTCTCAACCATTATGAATGTTCAAACATATATGTGTGTATGAATTTGATATCTATGCCATGAAAACATGAAGTCATGAATTTTATTTTACTATAAAGAATGCAAACATATAAATCTAAATAATTAAAATTCAAATTATAAGTTTATATAATATTATTTCCAAAATACAAAAAAATGAAAAAATAGAATAAAAATTATGTACACACATCAATCTAAACATTTGAACTTAAAGAAAGAAAAATCATACCCTCTGATAAGAAGAGAGAAAAAGGATGGGGAGACTTGAGGTCGGGTGAGAGAGAATATCGCTTAAACCATTTGCGCACGGCTTGCTCGTCATTAGAAATAGAGAGGAGGGGGATCACGATTGAAAATCACAAGAAAGCGGGGAGAGAGATGAGAGTGGTTGGTTAGTGGAAAATTTTGAGAAAGAGGGAAGCCATCGTGCGCCTAAACTTATTCAGGCAACAAGTGAAATTTTTAATAAATTATTTGTCAGAATTTAGTGAACTTTATCGATGAAAAATATGTCGGAAATCAATTCTTTCTATAATTTTGACAGTAATAACTGACTTTCCTTGTAGTGTTCAAAGAATTATAAAGAATCAAACAACAAAGTAAGAAACTTGAAAAAGAAATACCATGTAACCTTTGATGTAGTGGATCGTCGGAAGAATCGACCTGCAAGAAGGATTTCGATCCCAATCCAGGAAGAAGGCAAACACAAAGCTTCAAAGCTTTAAAAGAGAGTAATATTCATTCAATGATCCCCTCTCTTACAATAGCTTGTATATTTATAGGTAAAAGGAGTATTCTAGAAACTAGTAGTAACAAACCTATAACAAACTAAGATAAAGTAATCCTAAGGACTATATAACTAAAGATGTTCCTACATCATTCCCCCCTTGCGTTA